GATCGCAGCAGAGGACGGTGTCGCTATCTCCCTCTCTCTGTGCGTCTCATTGCTATTATCCAGCCTCAGCCAGCCTCTCTTTGCACTTGTGCTCGGGGTCTGAAGAGGCTCTCCAGGGCTCTCAGACAGCATCATGCAGCTTCACTGAGTGCACATGAGGTTGCATTTTTATTTCTTACTGGGAAACTCCTCTGTGAGCCAAACAGGGAAGAAAAACAAGTGTGCTGTCTTACAGTTGTGACTGCAGAGGAACCGTGCAAGCTGATGACAGCAAACGTTCTCAGAGAATTATAGACGATCTAGTGTAACGTCGAGGTGGGAATCACCAGACACTCGCGATACGATATTAAAACAATACTTGACTGATTTGTTACATTTTGCATTATGCTGAGTATTTGGACTAACATATATTGCAATTTATCACTTTTTTTTTTACTGCAAATTACATCCTCAAAGTTAAAATGTATCAAAACCTGTTTTATCCAGTAAGGTAAAGTTACCTCACTTCAGTGTTTTCTTTTTGGTGCCAAATGAGATTATCAAGAACGGCAACATTGTCACTAAAACCAACAAATGTTGCCATAAAACAGAGTTGGTCTGTTATCAGTCTGTGATTGAATGTGGTCAAGCCAGCAATTATACGCAATCTGTTTCTGATAATACAGCAAATAACTGTGATAAATCATTGAAAATCACATATCTGCTTCTGTCTGAATAGACAGAAATAGAAATTTAACAGAAATTGACATTTAATTATTACATTTGCACTTGACAGCCTTCCTGTTCTATAGGAATATAAACCAGAATACAACCAGCTGGCAGCCAGTTGAGTCCCCTTGTGTTGAGCTCATGGACTGAATCACTCAGACTGATGGAAACATTTGTGCTCATTTATAAATTAAACACCAATTATTTGCAAACCTTTTACAATCTTTCCAAGCGTGACTGCAGCCGCTTAGAGAAAGGTCGCCTCCTATCATGCGACCTTGCAGCCCCGTTATTCGTAGTATCCTGGCGTAAATATAAACATATTTTCCCTCAGTCTGTGTTTCGAGTCGTAGAGTTTTTGGGAACTGTTTGCAGTTGCCGATTAATCCATATTTGGAGCTCTTTGGTGAGTAATTCCAACAGCAGAGGGCTGTATGTGGGGCTGAGTCATCGTGAAGCGCGGTGTGCATTCATGGTAATGAAAGAACATGATGTGCCCACGTGCAACCATCATGTTGTCTTCAAGATTTACGGCTCTTCAAATGGAATATCACTTTAGTCTCTATCACAAATTCATTCCCGTGAAAATCTCACCAGAAGACACGCCAGAGAGAATAAAAGGCAGATCTGCTCCAATGTCAAAATTCTGTGCAAAATTTCTTTAAACTAGTTTATCAGATTGGGAGCAAAACTAATCTCCTGCCTCGTGCAGATTTCCTCTCGTGTTTTTAAACAGCGAGTCTTTAAGATGTAGAACAGGGCCAGCTGGTTCGTTCGGAGCCTTTCCAGCTATTAGACTTGTCCCTCTGTCATCCCTTTGGCGTAAAATATTCCAAAAAACCTGCAGGGCTTTTGAGCATGTGCGTGCCGTGTACTGATGTCACTGTACGCGACGTTCTGGTTGGTTCTAATGTATTCAGTATCTGAAAGAAGCAGTTGCTTGGCTCTGGTGCGGCTCCCCGAGGCCAAAAGAATCCTGAGGGATGCTGCATCGCTCCCACTCCAAATCTGTTTCTGCTTTAGCCAAGTGGCACCGTGTCAGTACAAAAATCACAACACAAACTCGTTTACTTGTGATGTTCCTGCGAGCGCGGAGGCTTTGGAGGATCCTGCTCGAGGAGCTTAGGCTGGCAGAGCTCAAGCCATCTTTTTTAATTCATTTCTCACACACACAGCTCCTCGTGTCATTTCTTTTTAAAGGCTTTATTTCTGTTCCTTCGATAATTTACTGTTGATGTTCTCTCGTTTGTTATTGAAACATTTACATACATCAAACATAGTTTTTGAATTTATCCATAAAAAAAGGCTGTTTCCACTTTTTAGCTGTAGTTCAAAGCATTTAGTTTAAAAGTGAAACAATCTAAAGTAATGATGAGAAGAGTTTACCTTCCTTCCTGTGTTTCTGGACGTAGATGCTCACACTGATCAGCGTTCATCTCAGTGCAAGCTGACATCAGCTGATGGCTCAGCACTTCCTGTTTTCCATATGTTGCCGTGTAAGGTTGGGGAGATCCCAGGACAAACCTTTGCCTATCAACTGAGCTAATAAAACTCAAAGTTGTGGTTCATGGGGTGATGGCCTTGTGCTTTTACGAGGGTTGTTTACAGCAGAGTGTGAAGTGGCTGGAATGAGAATTAGCGCCTTTAAATCCGAGGAAAATACTGTCCACTCTGGCTTTGAAGGCTTCAAGTAGAATTCAGATATTTGTTGTTATTCAAGCAGCTGACTGTGAAGCTGAAGCTGTTGATGTACCGGCCTGTGAACAATGCTGGCCTCACCTTTGGTCACGAGCTGTGGGTGGTGACAGAAGAAATAGGAGCGCAGATAGCAGTGTTGGTGAGCTTCTCCTGAGAGGTGACTGGGGTCAGCCGTAGACACAGGGTGAGGAGCTTGATCATTCAGGAGGCTCTGAGTAGCTCCTACTGGGAGGAGACCCCAGGCAGACCCCAGGCATGACAGCTGAGAGATGAAGTGTCTCGTCTGTCTTAGGAAAGCATCAGAGTCCTCCTGAAAGACCTGGGTGAGGCATCAGGGGAGAGGAAGGTCTGAACACCTCTGCTTAGTCGGCTCCCTGTGGACAAATTAATGGATGGAAGTGCCAATCACAAAAACAGTTCAATAGTCAATGTTTTTAACACATTGTGATTTGTCGGTATATGCAGATGTTATGTTTAGGGCTGCCACAAACGATTATTTTGATAGTCGACTAGTCACCGATTATTTTTGCGATTAGTCGACTAATCAGATCAT